ACTGGAGCTGCTCTCAGGTCTCCCCTTCAGGAGCCTTCTCTTCTCCAGCTGACCCAGCCCAGCTCTCTCAGCCTGGCTCCAGAGCAGAGCTGCTCCAGCCCTCGCAGCATCTCTGTGGCCTCCCCGGGAATCCCCACGGATGAGGAGCAGCCGTGGTGGCGGCGCTGCTCTCACCTGCAGAGCCGGTGAAGCCTGTCAGCCAGCCCAGCCGAGCATCCCTTGCCGAGATGTACTCGCTCTGAGACAGGAGCAGAGCCGTGAGAGGCGGCCGCTGGCACCAGCAGCAGCGGCGGGGCAGGTGCCGGTGTCCCAGCCTGCTCCTGCCTCACCATGTGTGCGTCCGTGGCGGGCACCACGTAGGCCTGCACGCCGAGCGCCCGCATGGTGCCCCGCAGAGCCGCCACCCTCGCCGTGGTGTCGGTGGCCGTCGGGGGCAGGTACTGGTGGCACAAGGGGACGTGAGCTGCGGCCGTGGGGCCGGGGCGCCCCATGCTGGATGTCCCAGGGACAGGGCAGGCTGGACTCACCGGAGGGTCCGTGGAACAGTCACGGATGTCGGTCCTGGCGTTGGCAGCCTTGGGCAGCCGGGCTGTGGCACAGCCTGGGACACGGGGACACCCGCGCAGCAGCTGTCACCCTCATCCCCAGCCTGAGGACCCAGCTGGCATCCACAGGAACCAGCGGCTCCAGCCCCGGGGATGGTGGGTGAAACCAGTGCTGTCATCCAGCTCAAGAGCAAGTAGATGCTCCTGGAGCAGGCAGAGCCTGGGGATGGGCTGGGGATGGGCTGGGGGTGGTGGGATCCCCAAGAGGAGTGGACAGTGCCCACTGTGCCCAGGAGCTGGGGAGGGGGTTGGCCGGAGCCAGCCCTGAGGGTCCCAGTGCTGCGGTTGCTGGAGGAGCTGCCCGGCAGCCCTGGCCATGCCCCGCCAGGACCTGGCTTCTCCTCTGTGCTGCTGGGTGTCCGGTGCCATCAGCAGCACCGCCTTGCCCTCAGCTCTCTGTCTCTGGCACCGCTGCAGCTGTGGGCAGGGACCTTGTTCTTCGCCTCAGGCCAGTGTCACCGGTAGTGGGTCACCCTTCTCACCGTGTGGCCTTGGGCACCTGGTCTCCATCCCCTGGGAGCTGCTCTTTTACCCATCACCACCGCAGGGCTCGTCCCTGGGGTCAGGCAGGTTTAGCCCCTCTCTGCAGCCCCCTGCTCAAAGGCTCCCTAAGAACAAACCCACCCTTCCCTCATCCAGCTGTGGCTGCAAGTGCTGCAGAGCACCCGACACCTTTCACAGACCGGTTCCTAGGATGTGTCAGCCCTGGGTGAGCCCCACCAGCTCCCAGCCCCCCGCAGTACCGTGGAGCAGGAGCAGCCAGGCTGGGATCCACTGCCGGGGGCGCATGGCTGTGGGAAGGGCACGATTCCCCAGTGCAGTGCCCTGGGTGACAGGTCCCTCCTCCTGCGCCTTTGCCCCCGGGGTGAAGGATGCTGGATGGGAGGGACAAGGCCTGGGAAATGGGAGGTTGCTGTCCTGGGCATTGACAGTGAATTCTGCTGCTAAATAAAAGCAAACAGCAAAATCAGCACAAAGTCCAAAGATCCTCCTGGAGCAGAGGTGGGGCTGTGCCAGCTCAGCTGCCTGTCAGGAACTCTTCTCCCGTGTCCTCAGAAACCTCTGTCCCCTGGAGCCACTGAGAGCTAACGGAGGTCCTTGGGTAGGGGGCAGATGTGTCCCCAAGCTTGCCTTCCTCCTTATCTCCTCCTGCTCTAGTGCAAGGTGTCCCTGCCTGTAGCACGGGGTTGGAACTGCATGAGAATTAAGGTCCCTTCCAACCCAAACCAGTCTGTGGTTCTATGATTCTATAGCATGGAGCAGTGCAGAGCATCCTCCATGGTTCTCCTCCTCCACCAGGTCACTGAGGGGTGCAGAGCATCCTCTGGTCATGCTATGGTGGTGCCCAGCCCAGTGCCCAGTGGCAGCCCAAGGCTGGAGCTGGCAGAGACTGGGGGATGCAGGGAGAACCCCACAGCCATTGCTGAACGCTGTGCCATGGCGGGGGGCTCGGCTCCATGCGGTGACCGTGCGGTGACCGGTGTGTCACCACAGCCACTGTCACCGGGATCCCGCTCACCACGAGGTGGCACCAGGACTGCGCTGCGGAGCTCGCTGACTCCTGTGCCCTGTCCTGTCCTTCTGTCGCTCTGTCCTGTCCCCTGTCCCCTCTCCCTGTCCCGTGCCCACCCGCCCGGTCCCACCACAGCTCCGGTGCAGCGCGAGGGCCGGTGGCAGCAAATCCTGGTGATCCCACTGCCATCCTGTTCCAGCTGAGGCCTAGCATGCTCATGTCACAGATGCTCTCCATCCACCTGAGCCTGGCATCATTCTCCTGTCCCTGCTTAGGGGACCCCAGGAGGGGTGAAGGGTATCCTCTGTTCCATTGGCCAGGATGGAGACATGCAGGGTGACACCAAACTGCCTCTGAGATGCAGTTGCTGTGGTGATGGTCAGGCAGTGCTTTGCTGCGTCCTGCTAATTAGTGTGATGTGTTAATGATGTGTCCATACGTGGTCCTTCCTGCCTCTGCTGCCCTGCCTGCTGCACTGGGCTATGGCTCCACGTGGGGACAGGGGTGTCCCCACACTCCTTTATTCCCAATTGCTGAGCTTAATACCATCCCCTCCCACATCCAAGGGATGGGGCTGAGGCTAGTGTGTCCATCCCCATGGTTACAGTGTTAGTGTGAGTCCTGCAGCTGCGCATCCTTCTTCTTCCTCCTCTTATTCCTTTTCTTCCTCCTCCTCCTCCTCCTCTCCCCTTATCTCTCGGGGGTGTCACAGCCCCCCCACGGGCAGCCCCAGGCAGGGCAGCGTCAACAGGACGAGGCTCGTCTCATCAGTGCCGTGCGTCCGGTGGGGCCCTTCCCTCCCGCGGGAGGTTTCCTCGAAGACGAGCTGGAGGAAGGCTTTGGGGGACATCCTCCCTTTGTGGGCTATTGTTGGCCTTCCGTCACCTGCACGGCCACGGGGTGACTCAGGCCGGGGTGACGCGCCCGGCAAACAGGACGTGGCGGACGAGGAAGGTGCCGGTGCAGGAATGCGGAAGCAGCGGTGGCACCAGCACCGGGATGCGGTGACGATCCTGCCCCTGCCCGCCCTGGGGATGGGGTGTGACCAGAGGGTCCCCTCTGCACCCAGGGCCTGGCAGCTGCCCTGAAGGGGTGGGGGTCCCGGACCCCGTGAGCTGGGCCCCTGCTGAGGGAGCACCCGCCTCTGGGGTGCTGGTGGGGACCCTACAACGCTCCAGCGCCTTGGCCAGGCTGCAGTGGTGGTGGTGGTGCCAAGCAGGACTGGACAGGCACAGAGGATGTCCTCTGCCCTGCAGAGACGTGCAGGGCATCAGCATGGTTCCCACACCTCCCCCTGTAGCCCCTCTTACAGCCCCACCAGCCCATCCTACAGTCCAGCACAATCACCCCAGATGAGGATAGGAGGAGGTCATTCCCCCATGGCAGGGGGTGAAACTTGATGATCTTAAGGTCCTTTCCAATCCAACCCATTCTATGATTCTATGATTCACCAATGTCATGGGCAACCCAGGCTGACTTGGGGAAATGAATTCAATTTATCACCAACTGAATCACAGTAGGATAATGAGAAATAAAAACTACATCTCAAAGCACCTTCCCCTAACCCCTCCCTCCTTCCCAGGCCCAGCTTCATTTGCAGTTTTCTCTACCTCCTCCCTACAGCTGTGCAGGGGGATGGGGAACGGGCGTTGTAGTCAGTTAATCGCATGTTGTCTCTGCTGCCTTTTCCTCCTCACACTCTTCCCCTGCTCCAGCATGGAGTCTCCCTCCATGGACTTCTCCAATGATGTGAGTCCTTCCTGTGGGTTGCAGTTCTTCATGAACTGCTCCAGTGAGGGTCCCTCCCATGAGTGCATCCTTCAGGAACAGAGGGATCTGGTGTGGGGTCCTCCCCGGGCTGCAGGTGGAGATCTGTTCTACATGGACCTTCCCAGGCCTCAGGGGCACATCCTGCCACACCACCGTCTGCACCACAGCTGCAGGTGGAGATCTGCTGCTCCATGGCCAGCAGTGGGTCCGTCTTGGATCTGGCTGCATTGGCTCCCTCCATGGGGGAATCTTCCAGCAGCTTCTCACAGAAGCCACCCTGTGTCCTCCATCAAGCAAACCCTTTCACATGGACCCAGCACATCGCTGTACCAACACTCCCCCATTATGCACCTCCCCAGGGGACCCCAGTGGACCCAGAGGAGCCACTGTCTGGTGACTGGCCTTGCAGAGCCCCGCCAGTGCCCGGGTTGTGCTGCGGCTGTCACCACATCACCATGTCACCATGTCAGGCCTTGGTACAGAAGGTTTCACGTTGTGCCCCGACTGCCCCCTCCCTGTGGCCACCTCTCAGTCCCAAATCCCCAGGGAATGGCACTTGGGGTCCTGGCTGCCAGGGTAAGGGGAGGAGACAGTCACAAGGAAGGTCGAGCGTCCCCAAACCCCCTGCGAGGTCTGGGGAGGCTGAAGGGTGATGTCCTGCCACAGTGCGGGTTCCTATGGCCTCACCCACCACACCAGCATGGTGCCAGTGGCTGCACGTGCAGCCCGCAGCCTGCAGCTCCCCCCCCCTCTGTGCATGGTGCTCTGTATGAGTGTTCTGGCAGAGGGTTTTTGTGTCCTCCCATCGCCCCCCGGCAGTGGCTGGGTGACCTGGGGAGCGGCAGAGGGTTGCAGGTGAGCCCCTCTGATGGGGGACTGCAGGACAGAGGCTACCGGTGGGGTGGCCATGGGGGGTGCCAGGGCAAAAAGGTGGAACTGAAGGAGGGTCATGGACAGGCTGGGGGGGTCTCATTGCCCTGGGGGCTGTGAGTGGGGGTTCCACAGGAGGGAGTGCGGTGGGTCCCTGCCGGGGGTGCCCGGGAACGGGGCGGGCAGGGGCGGGCCGGGGGGCGGTTCCCCTCCCGGGGGCCCGGGGGCCACATGACCGGGCGGGCTGCGGGGCCGGGCCGGGCTCTCACAGCCTACAAATGCGGCTCCGCCGTGGCGGGGCCGCCGCCGCCGCTCGCAGCCCCCGGCATGGCCGCGCCGCGTTGGTTCCTGGCGCTGCTGCTGCTCTTCTGGCTCGCCCTGGCCGCCGCGGGTGAGTGCAGGACTCCCCATCCATCCCCTTCCCCGTTGCGGCGCCGCCCGGTGCCCGAGCTGGCAACGGGGCGAGGAGCGGGGCTCGAGGTCCGGCAGCCCCTGCCCGTGCCGGGCTGGGCAGGACAAAGCGCTTCTCATGATGCCAATAGCTCCCCGTGTCTGTCCGTCCGTCCGACAGCCGAAACAGCAGCAGCCAAGGGCCGGGGAGCAGCCGCCGACCCGCCCGGTGCCACGGGGATGGCAGCGGGCAAAGTCGGTTCTGGCGCCGGGGCCCCTACCCGGCTGCGCTGCCCACGGCGGGTCCCGGCACGGCCCCGGCTCAGCAGGTTGCAGCCACACCGGGACCGGGACCCGGACCCGGACCAGGGCTGGTGCTGGTGGGACTGGAACTGGCGCTGAGACTGCAGCATCTCAGCCTGGCACGCGGGACCGGGGCACAGGCTGTGGGAAGGGGGCACTGCCCGGGGCTCAGCGGGTGCTGCCCATCGATGGGGCACGGGAGCACAGGGGGTGTCTTTGGGGAGCTCTGGTGACAGAGCCTGAGGCTGGTCCGTGCCCGCACGGTGGCCGCGGCCACGCGAGGTGGCCCTGCTGGGTGCAGGTGGTCTGGCCCAGCTCAGCACAGGAAGCATTTGGCCGGCCAATGGCTCCTGCTGGGGGCAATTCAGGAAAAGGTGGTGCTGGCAAGCCCCACGGAGTCCACATCCCCACCCCACGTGCAGGGTGAGGGACCTGGCTAATGCTGTTCCCGCCATCCCCAGGGCCACTGGGCGCTGTGCCAGACGGGCAGAATGTGAATGATGGCCTCATCCGGACACTGGTGCGGCCACGGGGTGTCCGGCTCAGGGCTGGGCACCGGCCCGGCAGCTGGCGCAGGTACCGGAGACCCCGACCCCGGCTCTCGCACAAGGGCCCGATGCCCTTCTGAGGCAGGTGAGGAGCAGCGGGGACAAGGGGGGACACGCAGACACGTGTGATGCTGCTGGGAGGGAACTCACGGATCCTGACTTTGCTCTCGTTGCAGAGGCGTCCCCAGCCTGCCCTGGATGTGGCTCCCACCACCCGTACAGTGCCACAGCCTGTGCTGCTCGTGCCTCAGCCCTGAGCATGGACTCCCATCCGTGAGCCCTCGGCTGGAGTCACCTCGTCCCCATGGCTGCACGTGGAGGCCCAGCACCGTGTCTGGCTCGTGGTGCGGCTGGGTGCTGCCGCGATGGTGGGCTTTGACCAAAGCACTTTGTCAGGCAGAGGAGCTTTTCCAGCTTGCCCTGGGTGGGGGCGTCCTATTTATTCCCCTGGTGTTAACCCTGCACCCTGGGTGAGCTGCTCTCCCCTTCCCACTGCCAGCCCCCCAACCCCGGGGAACCCCAAGTCATGGGGCGCCTGCCCAGAGCACAGGGGGGGCTCTGAGCCCCTCTGCCCACGCCATGACATAGGACAGCGGGAGAATGGGGAGCACTGGGGTTTCTGTGTCAAGCACTGACATATGCCAAAGGAGGGGCCCTTGCTCTGAGCTGGGCCCTGTTGACCATGTCTCATGTCTGTAAAGATTTATTCTGTGTAAATACATCTTTGTAATAAAGAGTTCTGATGACAGAAAACCCTTATTTTTGAGGTGTGGGCAGGGGGTGCCTGCACTGCCCTTGAGCCTCCCAGGAGCTCCCAGGATCCTCTGTTTCCCCCTGGGCAGCCCCTTCCCCAGCCCAGGGCTGGTGGAGAAGATGCCCAGAAAAGACTGGGGAGGAGGGGAAAGAAACGGGTTCAGAGCCCCCTCTGCAGAGAGGCTGGTAATACAGAAAGGGATGGTGGAAGGGCACAGGGATGCTGGTCCCAGCCGGGGCAGCATGGGGTGAGGGGCAGGGGAGTGCTCTGGCTGTGGAGCAAAGCCCCTGGCTGCAAATGCTGCCCTGAACTCCCCACCTTTATCCCCTCCTGGCGTTTATTTTTCTGCTCACCTGAATTCCCTCCACACTGAGCATAAGCTGTGCAGAAACAGCTCTAAAAGTGGGGAGTGGGGTGGTAGGAGAGGTTCTGCTGGTGACAGCTGTGCTGGGACCTTCGTGCCCAGAAGAGAGGACATGGCCCATACGATCCCTCACTGATGGTGCCCGCTCCTGAGGACCCAGCAGCTCCTGAGCCAGGATAATGTTTTTGGTAGGGAAATTCCTGCAGGAAGCCGCAGGTGCACGGATGCTCCTGCCCTGGCTTGAGACACTGCTGTTGCCGTGGTTATCAGCATCCACCACCCCCCATGGGTGCAGCACCATGTCCCCAGGGTTTGGGCTGGAGGAGGATGAGGCCGGTGGGACCGGCCGGGGCTGTGTGGTGGAGGCTGGAGCTCTCTCTGGGATGTAGCAGCCCCAGCGCTGCAGGACCCCTGGCCTGGGCACGGCGTTCACTGGCTCTGTTTGACCTGGCTGCATCTGGAGCTCCCGCGCCTGCTGGATCCTCCTGTGCACACCCCCCCCCCCCCAGACTGACCCCCCGCAGCCCTGGGCAGCCGTGCCCAGCTCCCCACATATCGGAGCAGCTGCAGGTGCCTGCGGCCCGGCAGATCCTTCCCTTGTGTCCCTGTGTCCCTTTCCCTGGCATCCCCCTCCCTGGGGTCTCTGCTGTCCCCGGTGTCCCCGGCATTCTTTTCCCTGGCATCCTGCTCCCAGATCTCCTTGTTCCTGCTGTCCTCACCCTGGCGTCCTCACCCCGGTGTCTTCACCCCAGCTCTCCCCATCCCCACGCAGTGGCGAGAGCGCTGCACCCCCGGGACAGGAGCTCCCACAGTCCCAGCGTGACCCGCGGGGGCGGCAGTGCCCGTGCGGGGCTCCCAAACCCCGCATTGCTCGCAGGAGGCCACCCATGAGCCACGTCGGCGGTCGGGGGCACGGGCAGGGGTGGCAGCGCTGGCGGGGAGGGGGATAACGGGTTAACGGGGGCCGCGGCGGAGCGGAAAGGCTGCAGCTGCGGGGTGGGAGCAGAGCCCGGGGGCAGCGGGGCCGGGCCAAGCTGCCTCCATTAGCTCATCCTCTGGGACCGCGGGGATGTGGGCCCGGCCACGCGCCAGCACACTCTCGCCACGCTCCGGCTCCTCTCCCCGCTCTCGCACCCGGCTTCCAGCCCCATCAGACTCCCGGGGCCGGCGGCCGCGTCACCGCGCACCAGCGCTGTGACCCCAGCTCCCTCCCTGGCTGGGCTGGCTGGTGGTGGGGGTCCCGTTCCTCCATGGCCACCCTGCTGTGCCGCTACTGGCTTGAACTGGGAGGTCTTTTCGCACCCCAGCACTCACATCTGACCCCGCTGCAGGCAGCCAGCACCCTGCCCGTGCACCCCGTGGGGTGGGGGTTCTGGGTGCAGGCGGTGGGGGGGGCCCGGCTGCCCCCGAGCAGAGCCCTGCGGCCGTGCCAGGAGCGGCACCAGTGCCCCACGGCTGCACCGGCACCGAGAGCGGGGCTGGGCCGCCGCTAGGGGCTGCGCAGCTGAGCCCTGACCCCGGCCCCCCCTCACCCGCCGGGAAGGAGAGGACGCCCCGGTTGGGCTGCGGCCAGGCAGGGCCGGAGGAAAAGGCTCCTGGGCCGGGAGACCGAAGGAATCTCTGGCTTTTCCTGGCCTGGCCGGCTGCCCGCGGGCAGGTGGGGGGCGGCCGTGCTCCCCACGCTCCCGGTGTGCCGTGTGCCACGGCAGCAGCCATGCACCATGCTGGAGCCCTGCACGCTGGGCAGTGCTGGGGCATCGGCAGAGCGGGCAGGGGCAGACAGGGATGGGCGCTGCTGGAGCTGCATCTCCAGCAGATGTGGCTCTCCAGAGTGGGGCTCTCTGCGTGGTTGAAGCCAGAGGCTCACAAGGTCTCCGGAGCCATGGCCAGATGGTGGCTGTGCTCAGGCTGCTGCTGGGCTGCAGTTCTGGATGGCAGTGCTGGTCCTGGTGTGGTGCAGACTGGTGCTTTCCTGGGTCTTGGCCCACTGAGGGGGGGAAACAAGGATGCTGGGAGCCCTGGGAGAGGGGATGGGGAGGGGCTGAGCAACCACTGGAGCCCTCCAGAGCCTAGGGACAGTGGCTGGACAGGGCTCACCCTAGTGATGGCCATGCAGGAGGACATGGGACCCTCTGCCAGCATCACAGATCGTGAGCGTTCATAGCCAGTACATACTGCTTCCAGCTCCCCAAGTCCCACCACCAGACACCAGCAGCAGCCTCAGTCCCACTGATGGCTGTGGTGGGCTGAGCCCCCAACCTACATGCAGGTCAGGGAGCATCCATCAACAGCCCCCAGGCAGCCCCCTTCCTTGGGCTGGGCCCAGAGGATGCACAGGCCGAGGCTCCAGCCCCATCCCAGGAGCTTCGTGCTTGTTCTGGCATTTCCGCCGGCAGTGGCAGGAATGTGGTGGCCGCTGGAACAATGCGGCACCTTGCACCGGTCCCTCAGTGCTGGGGCTGCGGCAGCTGCCCAGGCACAGCCCTGCTCTCAAGGAGCCCTCAGGAAGCACATGGAGATGACACCGGCCAGGGTTTCCTGTGGCAGGACGTGCCGGATTCCTCCACCACTGCTTCAGTGGGGCCCAAGGGACCCGGACATCACTGCCGTGGTCTGCAACAGCCCTGTGCCATCAGCATCCTCTGTACCTGCTCTCCAAGGCCCTGCTCGCTCTGCGCTGACTCCACCATCCCCAGGATGCGTCTGTCAAATGGGGAACTGGCACGGGGCTGCACAGTGCCCGAGTGACAGCGGGCTGCCCAGGAGCAAGAGCAGGAACCAGGAGAACAATAACCTCCATTGCGGTCCCCCGGCTCTGCCCAGCACGATGCTGGGAGGGGCCCAGGACAGGCTCAGCTGCCTTTGGGAGGCTTCAGCCCCATAGACAGAGCCCTGGGCAGGGAGGATGGTGGAGCTGAGCCGCAGCTCTGCATCAGGGGATGCTGCAGCAGCTGCCCAGGCTGTGCAATGCAGTGACATGGTGACACCAGCGCAGCTCTGGGAACCTGGCGCAATGGAGGTTTATTCAGAACCAACTGTTTCCCAATAAATTACATCATTTAAAAAGTTTAAAGAGAAGAGGTGGGGTTGGGAGCCCCCAGCAACTCATTCAGCGGGGACCATGGAGCCACAGGACACCATGGGCCGAGCACTGGCACTGCAGCTCCGCTCTAGCAGTGGCCTCCCACAGCTGCTGGCCCAAGGTGGCAGGACACTGCTTAGTGTTTCCATGGGACTTATGCCCCCTCCTGCACCCATCAGCCACCAGGGGTATCCCCAGAATTAGAGCTGCTCCTCTAGGACTCAGGGTGCATTTCTGCCTCATCTCCCCTTCTTCCCCCACCTGTACTCTCTAGGGCAGGGCAGCATCTAAGGGCCCCTGTCTCCCAGCCTGTTGTAGCCTCATGGCTCTGCAAGCAGGGCTGGCCAGGACAGGAGCTGGGTCCTGCCCCACGCCACACACAGCAGCAGCCCTGATGAGCGAGGTGCTGCTCTCTGCCTGCCCCATCGCATGTCACAGAGGAAGGGGGGGCAAAGGGAAGGGACAACATAGAGCAAGACCTGGCTACAGTGCAGAAGGCTTGGAATGCAGTAGGGAGAGCTGTGTGCTGAGCCCTGTGTCCCAGGAGGGAGATGAGGGGATAACAACACCCCACTGATCCGGAGAGGCTGAATCTCCAGAGAATCTTTCTGGAAAGCTGCAGTCCAGCTTCCATGGCACAGTGATGGGGCATCAGGGCTGGCTGGGTCTGCTGTGGGGCAGAGGGTGAAACATACCCAACACCCGCCCAGGGCTCTTGCAGTACAGTCAGTGCACACGAGCACAGGCACCCCAGGGCCACGGCACGCAGGGTGAATGCCACGGCCCCTCCAGCAGCACTCACAGTCTGTGCCTGCCCCGCAGCAGCTCGAGAGAGGGGGGGGAAAGGAGAGAGAAGCATGACTGACACTGCTGTGGGCCGCTGGCACAGTGCTTGGGCACCACCAAATCTAGCCAAGGAGAGAGCAGGAGGCTCTTGGCATGGCTGGCAGTGAAGTGAGTGTGCAGATCCACTGCAGCGCAGGGTACAGCGATGGCAATGAGAGGGGAACATGTCCTTCCGACTGTAAACACGGCACTTGGAGTAGCTGGGAGCCTCCCCAGAGGCCCGGCCCCACTGCAGGGCTCACTCCTCATCCCCAGCCAGCAAGAAGCTGTAGAGGAAGTTGATGGCGCGCTGGCGGTCCTGCTGCGACTGCTTGGTCACTAGGTTGGGTGGTGGACGCAGGAGGAGGCTGGAAAACAGGGCAGCTGCAGAAGCAAGGACATGTGTGAGGGGCCGGGCACGAGATCCTGCCAGGCACAGGTGAAGCAGAGGAGTGTCACCTACCGATCATGGTGACACTGACTTTGTTGTCCTCAGAGTATCGGAGCAGCTCACGGAGGAACGACATCAGGTACCGGAACACGCTGCGGTGGCAACGGGGCAGCTGAAAAATCACCTGCAGAGAAGAGAGAAGGGAAGCCCCTGAGCTCCATCACCACAGCTGGGCCTAGGCTCCACAGGCAGAGCTTCCCTCTTTCACTGCCTTGAGGCCGTTGTGTGGCCACTGCATGAGCCACAGGCCTAGAAAGTGAGCAACAAGGTGACACTC